ATATATATACATATATATTTATATATATATATATATATACAGCTTTGATAACAGATCTCATGCGTGGAAATAATTGAACAGGCAGCAAAAGGGTTTATATTTTATAAACATCTGTTGCACCCTCTCCAGGGGTGTAAAAATGCATTAAATATAAAATCCAAGAGTTTGATAGCAGCACATTTACTGCACTGTGGCAAAACATGGGTATAATAGTGGTATGGATTGATAGTGACTGCAGGGGATTAAATCATAGTAATATGGTCCTCTAAACAGTGATAGCATACATAGGCAATCCTGTCAGAATATGGGCAACAAATGGGCAATCATATACACAATATGCAGGCAGCAAACAGTCAATTGGTACGAAATGTAGGCAACAAAGAGGCAATTGTGACAATCTGAAGGTAAAAAAACAATATGTGAGCAACAAGGGGGAAACATCTAGGGTTGTATGTCCGTTCATTTGAATGTGTTTACGCCAGTACTGGTGTATACTCACATACAGCTATATACAGCCATTGGTTTCTATGGGCAACTCTTCTTTTAATTTTATGGCCACAATCTCCTATGTCTATGGGTCCTTATTATTATATATCTCCCAGTATTAATCAAATTATTAATACATGAGAGAAGTGTTCCCTAGTGTTAGTCAGGGACATGTACAGTTTAAAATTTTAGGCTGCTCTACTGCCGGATTGCCCATGATTGGGGTCATAGGACCAATATATGGTTAAAGGGAAACAGACTTCAAGAAAATATCCCAGATTTTCAATAGAGGAGGTATAGCAAAAGAGGTCTGCCCGAGGATGAGCTGACAGCCTTATCCAAGGAAGGGAAAATGGTAGTGGAAAGTAGTGGAAATATCTGGTTTAAGAGAAACCCATAGTTGTTATGGTTCATTAAACGGGTGATCCAGTATGTGGGTAAGAGGGAAGCTTTGAAGTTTAATTTACAGGCCAAGGCCTCCTGAATCTTTACAGTGAACGCAGATATCATATCGCAGTCTAGGTGGTTTGTGGGCCCATAAGTATCTGAGCAATGCCGATCTAAGATTAGTAAAGAAAGTGTGTGGTTATTCATACAGATAAATGTTGTTTTTGTAATCTCTCTTAATCTCTATGAATAAGTCGTTTGGTGAAACATGTTAAAGTTGGAGAACCACATGTGTGTTTACAGCATGTTTTGACTTCGGGAATAAACAGTATTTAGCTTGTGATATCAAGCTGCTGGGTGCCCTTTTTTTTGCCTGCACCGACAAGAGGGGTGGGGCTGTGCGACCACAGGACAATGAATATGAGCACTGTCTGCTTTGTGAGTTTCACTCTTCTTTAATGTTACTGTTCTGTAAACTAGAAGAAATTTGGTTTAATGTACCTCAACCATATATACAGTACTTCTTTGCAGTCATACAGCAGTGTTGTGCTGAAGAGTTTAGGCTGCTGTACAGCTACCACCCTGGCCATAACATGCCAGTATGTGGCAGGAGTCATGCTGTCTGTTCCTCCCCTACCACTGATGGCAATGACATGCTGAAGAGGGAGAGTAAGCACACATAGCTCAAATATTTTTGTTTTTTAATGTTCTTCCATGTTAATTGCTTTTAGTAACATGAGTACTCTATTCACATTTTATTTTCTCAGATAGTTAGGTATATTAACCAGTTATTAAGATAAGTAATTACATTTACTCTTTCATTTGACAGATGGTGGTACTGCAGTCCCTTCACAAGTATCAACCGTGTCTGCATGTGAGACGAGTGACGGAGTCTGGAGTTGTAGAGACCCACAGTCACACCTTCACTTTTCCAGAGACCCAATTCATAGCTGTCACAGCTTATCAAAATGCTGAAGTGAGTACAAATTCAATGTTGGGACATTTTTCCTTACCTCTGTGTATTCAGCTGAGCATGATTAGACAGCTTTCTAAAAAACATCAAATGTGAGTGTAAAAAACATAATAATCATAAGTGCATACTAAATGGCAAGGATGGAAGCTGTGATTATAAAGAAAGCAACATGTGACCATGATTTGTGTATAAATGGTGAGCAAAAGGGTATGACTAATGTAGTAAAAGCATACCTAACCAATATAAAGATTAAGGGGTAAGTTTGCAAAATGTGAAAAAATTACCTTAATCACAGCACCCTCCCCACCACCCCCGTGCACTTAGCTGTGATGTCCCTGCCAGTGGGTATAAAGGTCCTTACAGCGTGCACTGCACTTCACAGACTCTAACCATCATAATGCTCGTTAATGGTGAGCTACATCATAGCTACATGACCGCGCTGACCAATGAGAATCACTTTCAAGCTGGGGACCAGGTCCTGGAAGTAAGAAGCACTTCTTATTGGTCATCATGGTCATGGAATTGTGCTGACAAATGAGTGCTCTCCATTTTCGAGCATTATGATGACCACAGCTAAGTGCAGCAGGGAACTCAGGGAGGTGGGCAGGGTGCTGTAAGTTCATGTTTCACATTTTGTGAAAAGGTAAACTTACCCTTTAAGCTGGATATACACTGGTAGATTTTCATATGAATATTTCTATTTAAAAAATCTCATCAGAACATTTCAAATGCCATTAGAGACATTACTATGCTGTTGGAAATTATCTTTGGTATTATCATGCAATTTTAGCATGATTCATAGTTTCATTCATTGTTAGAATTTCGATCGTCGATTTGACACCAATAACTATTAGAAAAACGAGCGAGTGGTCTGAGAACAATTTTTTTGCAAACTAATTTCGAGCCGTGTATACTCAGCTTTTTTTTAGTAAATGATAAAGTGTGGTTAGTAAACCAGTAAAATACATAACAAAAATGGTACTTCTATAGGTTGGCTGGTACTCATTCCCCATCTACTTTTGTCTCAGGGGACTCCAATAATAGCATCTCCTTACTAGAATTCTTATCTCGGCCTCCCAGCACATCCATTGCAAATCCAATTAATAGAGAAGTCACGGACAACACATACTTCGTTTTGAAGTTTGAAGCAATTAGGCAGGGCTCTGAACACCACTGGTGATTCTATCCAGCAGCATGCATGATAATACCGATATCTTACACTTTAACTGAAAAATGCACTGTCCATTCACCTTATTAAACTGGAAGAGTCACTCAAGTAAGTGTTGGCTGGAAATCTTCAAGCACAGAACGATTGCCCAGGAAAACAATACTGGAAACAAACCTTTCTAGAGCATCACTATTGTTCCAGTTACTGGTAGTAGATGTGCCAAGGGTGACATCATGCAAGATGACATCAGACCTAAAAGGAGTCTTGGGGCACTTTTTTATGCATTCTTTAGCAACCTAGTAATGGAAATCACATTAAAAAATAGTTCAAACTGCAACTTTTTTCTGTACAAAAATGAACTCAGGCTGCAGCATATGTCTAATGCAGCACATGTATACCTTGGAACCTGTTCGGATATAGAGAAAATGTTTTTTTCTTATTTCTCTTTTATGGGTGGTATTCAAACTTTATTTAACCCCTTCGTGACTGACGACGTACAGTGTACGTCGCCAGCATCAGGGCTGTTTAAACAGACTCCCGGCGACTTTTGCCGCCGGGACTCTGTTTAAACTTGTAGAGCCGACTGTCGGCTTTACAACAGAAGCGATCCTGGCGACTTACCTAAAAGCTTGTACGATCTGCCCATCTTGGACAGGCAGATCGTACTTGTGATCATCGCAAGCCCGCCCCGCTGAGGGGAGGGCTTCCGATGACTGCAATGCTGAGCGGGCAGTGTGCACTTGCGCATTACCGGCCCGTGCGGCATTTGTCTTACGAGCACGCCACAAACCCGGCTTTTTTTTTCAACATGCTCGTAAGACAAAAGATGTGCGACCGTACAGTAGAAACGGGGATTTCCCGCGATTATCGTACGATAGTCCGCAGCTGTATGGCCACCTTTACAGTTGATTTGCAACAGATTAGAAAAACCTGCTGGTTGTTTATAGGAACAGGTTGGTAGCCTACCAGTATCAGCCATCAGAGAAAAAAAGCTAAGATTTCACTGCCTGTGTTGTGAATACTCTACTCCTTTAGCAAATCAACCCCACCAAGTACATGGGAGAGGGAGAAGCGGGGCAAGATCAGGATGTAGGGTGGTAAACAATGAGATCTCTTGGCCACGAGGATAGCTATGCTGGTTTCATCATCATATTCCTAATCTAGTTAAGAGAAGGTAGGGATTGCACCATCTTCCATAACGGCAAGTCATCCTCTTTTAGATAAGGCTGATATTAATTTCATTCATTTCTGCTGCAGATTACACAGCTGAAAATCGATCACAATCCGTTCGCTAAAGGATTCCGAGACCACTGTGAAGCACAAGTAGGCAGTGAAATGATGGGGTGAGTAAAAATAATAGAACTGGTTACAGCCATGTCTGCAAAAGGGGAAAACTGTGGTATTAAATGTGCGTGTGGCTTTTTAGAGCCAAGTCTGTAATGCATTCTGTAAAATTATTAGTGTCTAAGTCTCTGAAGCAAACTCTATGTTAGTATTATCTATGCAAATTTTGTGGGCCATATTACTCTAAATTATTTATTTTTTCGTAGGTTGTGTGTCCAGTCTGCTGAACGCCAAACACCATCACCACCTGTCTGCTATCCTAATCCTTTCTTGCACAACCCGCTGCAGACTGCACGTCTCTACTCTGTAGAACAGAAAGATCCGCCACCTTGGTACTTATCGACTCAAGGTATTGCTCCACCCTGGGACTGCACACCTTATGAAACCACAGGCAAAATGGCTGCAGCCTATGCCATGAAGTGTTATACCCAGCCACCTCCTCTGGGTTATTATGCAGATACACTGGCTTCAGCCTGGGCAGGACCAGCACAGCACCATCCAAAACCCAGTCCTACACCACCTAGCTGGGCTTTTCCCTTTCTAGATAACAGAGAAAAGGAAGAGCAATCTAGTCTTTGGGGAGACCATCCAACATATAACGAGGACAGCAAAAGGCGGAGAATGTCACCATATAAACCAGATGGATCCCCCCACATGTATGACAGAGACACAGACTTGCCATTCTATGGGTTTTACAGCCAGTAACATTAACAAAGGCGTGTGAAACTACAGTGCCTTTTGCAGAGGCATTGCTATTATGCATGGGCCCTGGTGCAAATTATGGATCAGGTACTCCCTTAATGGTGGCTGTAATGTCACGTGACCAAGTGCAGGGAAGGCAGTAGGCAAGGCACTACTCCTTAACAGTTCAGCCTTAAAGATCTTTTACGAGCAGTTTTCTGCTCAGTGTGCTCTGCAAACTGTATTTTTCAGTTTGTTTTTTCACAGAGGGGAAGTAGTGTATGGTAAGAAGTACTGTCCCAAAGCACAAGGCCCATCTGCTTCAAATGCAGTCCTTGACGCCAACCTCATGAGCTCTGTACATTGACAAGGTCTTAAGTCATTGTTTGCCACCTCTTTTTCTCAGTGTGAAGTATGCAAATGTGGATAAATTCATAGAGGCCTGGCCACATTTCAAGGCAGTAAAGCAGAACATATTCCGTTTCATTGACATTAATGTCACCAGCGCAAAACCAGCATGTGGCCAATTTTATTTTTGTCCACAGCTACAGAAAAAAAATACACCCTCTGGAATTATCTGGATTTCTGCACAAACAGCTCCCAACATGTGGTCCATTCTTTAATCAAGGAGATAACAACAATCTGCTTATTGTAGTCACAAAGACATATTTGAAAACCTGCAGTTCACTTGTGTTTCTGTGATTCCTTATGTGGAAAGCTCTCTTTGGTGCTTGTCATCCCAAATGGGTTGACGTTTGGACTCTAACTTGACAATTACAGAATTTGGGGTGAAACCAACACTCAATGTCACTAGAGAACTTGCATATGTGCCAGGCTCTCCTATAACAAACCATGGCCATCCTAGGCAAATGCACCAAGGATAACGTTTACGACCTATGGAAGTACCAGGGCTCTTAACACTGCTTAATCCTGGGCAGCCTGGAGAGGGATTATGCATCAGTTGTTTATTTATAGCTGAACATGCGTAAGACGGTGGGGAAGTGTCAGAGATGCCGTGCACACAAAGTACATTACACATAAACTTCAGATTATTGGCCACAACCTTAATATTTTCCTGTAAAATGTATTCATGGGATTCTGATTTGTTTCCTGTGTAATAGCAAATCAGATCCAAACTATGATGCTCCTTCTACAATGCTTCATGGTTGGAGTGAGGTTCTACTGTTGGTGTGTGATGTTTTCACCTGACTGCATACATCAACATCTAGGTAGTCTTTTGCAGACTTGAAAAATACAGCAATCTACTTTTGAAAAGTAGTAGTTCATCTCTGGACTCATTTAATAATTATTTTTTTCAGTGTTCCGGGGAGTTCTGCAGCTGCTTTGCGGTTTCCATACGACATGGGTAGGTAACCTTGGCACTCCAGCTGTTGTGAAACTATAAGTTCCATGCGACATTGCAAGAATGTCAGCAACAGGCATAGGTATGATAAGATTTGTAATGTCACCACAGCTGGAGTGCCAAGGTTGCCTATTACTGCCTTAGGGTTTTTTTACTTCTTTCCCCATTGCATGCTGCACTCGTCATGATGTATCCAGACTGCCCATTCAAAGGGAGAGTAGCGAACGGAACTCTATTTCCTTTATTTGTGGTCAGGTTGTATTTTGTGGCCTAATTAACAGCCAGGGCTTTAGAAATACGTGCATGCCTTTTCCAGTGCACCACTACAATTCTTTCAAGATTCTCAGTAATGTATTTGGATCTGAGTGTGATTCACATCAAAAGATCTTTGTTCCAAAGACCATACCAGCAGTAACCAATGTATACTTTCTCCCTTAAATGAAGTAGTGCGCCATTTCCACAACTTTAATAGCTCATTGATTGGAATACTCAAGTACCTTACTTTTACAAATGCCATTATCCTAAAGGGTTCATTTTCAATCAAGGAACTTTATTGTTTAAACCATTTGTTCAATAAAGATATGACATTACAAAATAGTGTATGTTGTTGGGTAAATAGGACCGTCTTATATTATGACTTAGATGGGGGTAAGGTCATATTTAAGGAGCCATTTCTAGTTCACAAAAATGTTTTTCGTGCAATTGTACAATGCACTAGGTGCTAAACACGGTTAACCTTAGGTAAGAACTGATTGGCTTTCTACGAAGGTGCTGTGACATTAAACCACAAGTGTTCCGCATTACGGCTTATAACAGTTCTCAGGGCAGATGGACTGCTATTGGTCCAATACAGGTGTTACAAATTGTTTAAGCAGGTGTGCCATCCAATATCAAATGTATAATAAGGATGATGTGATTGATCATGTTAATTAACACATTTTATAGATATTGTGTTCACTACATGCACTTTTATTAAAAAGTCTTATCAATAATAAACAGTGGTTGCTCAATCACTCTTGACATCCTCCTTGCTGTGTTGCTTCAGCAGGCTGGACAGATGTGATGAATGATGTGTCAACAATCTTGACGTCTCTGAAGTCATTGTTCCCAGCGTACTTACAAGCTGGCCCTGCAGGGTTTCCTTGCTAGGTAGCTTGGAATAATTCACAACTCCTTGTCGGCTTAGCAGTCTGTTTTCAACACAGGCTCCTGAAAAACAAAGAAATATCCAGAACGTCTTGCAGTTATAACTATCAAGCGTGCGTGTGTTTAATATAAATATGAACACAATTAACAGTTATGTGCGTTGGCATAGTTTGTACATACATTCAAAGATTTCTAACTAATAAAAATTGTTTTCTTAAAGACAAAAGTTTGTGAGAGTGAATTTTTTTACAAAGAGGGCCAATAACATTGATGTGAGGGAGAATAGCCGATGCTTGCAGGAATAAAAACAAGATACTCATTCAAACCAAAATGTATTAGGACATCTTTGAGCTGCATAGGTGATTCTATAAAGAGGGTGCGTCTTATTCACTAAACATTTTCATATGAATGACTTCAGTAGACGTCCAATTAGCACTATGGTTTTCCTGGATTAATAAAGTAGTAGTCTTATAAAAGTTTTTTTCTGGCTTTACTCAGCTCTACTTCTCCAAAAATACTGAAAAGATACTATTTCAGATTACATATGTTAGGGATGAGAAAGCTTGTAGTTGCATTGATTGCACATCCATGCATGGAAGGCATGTAGAGAATGGGTTATAAGTAGTCTCTCTTGTCCCAGTTTGTGTATTTTCCTCCATTGGCTTTTCTAAGTTTACATACTTCTGACAAGAAGCCTCACATTGTAACCTCAAGGGCTTCCCAAGAAGCCTCTTTGGAGGTGTTGCCCCCATTCTCCTGGCAGAAATAGTCCATATCATAAGCACATCCATCATCAACCTCAAGTCCTGCAACCAAAAAGGGCCTATTTTTCAAGGTCTAAGACCCAGTGGGGGCTATAGTGAAAGTGCTAATTCTGGGGGGTGGGGGGGGTTGTGGCAGATAATTGAAACTGAATTTAGAAAGGTGGCAAGAGCATATCTAATCCGAATAGTGTATTATGTGACTTAAACGAACACGAGTATTCTTGTTTGTCAGGGTGTTTCCATTGCCATATCTGTTAGATTGTAACTAAGTGACCAGGCCTGTAATTCAGAAGTATAGGCCCGCACGCTATCAAATCTATCTAGAGTAGGATCAAATACAGTCTTAAAGTCCTCTGCTAAAATAACCGCCCCCTTTGCGATCTCATTAGTTTTACACATGCAGGCATCAAACCTGGCAAATTTCAAATGGGGGTGGGAGATATACATTACCAATAGTATAATGCTACACCAGATATTCAAAGATAAAATAACAACCTTGATGATCTGTTCTTACAGCAGAGATTTGCTCATTCAAATGCTTAAACACTAGGATAGAGACTCCTCTCAAAAAGCATGTGTAAGTGGCATGGGCCACCTAAGAGCCATAGCTTTGGAACCAGTCAGATGGGTCTCCTGAAAAAGCAGCAGAGGTTTTAGTCATTTCATTTGATTAAACACTAAGGACATCTTTATTTTAGAGTTAAGCCCTTGGTGTTTGAGGTCAAGAGTTTAAGTTTGGTTGTCAAGTGTAAAATCTATGATAGAATAAGGCCCTTGAAAGTGACATATAGAGAAGACAATAAGGGAATCAAGGTTAGTGCAGAGTATGGCCAGACACTATAGATAGTGGGATGAAGGTTTGACACAGCACGCACATCTTCAATACCACAAAGAACAAATCAGAGAAACGACACAATAAAAGTAACTGAAGTAATTTCCAAAGCCTTCCCTCCTGGCCCACTGGCCTAGCTTACTGTGAGCTTTATACCCCAACATACAGCAGCTGTAGGGTAACATGGCTGAGACCAATCCACAAACCAAATGACAGTGCACAAAGTAAAAAACGGACAAAACTAGAAAAGGAGATTGAGTAGTAATTATGCACTGTGTATAATTTGCTGCCTAGTGCCACCTAGTGCTAAAAGCAGTGCAATTTAGCCATGTAAAGCAATATCAAAGTAGAAAGTTAAGGTGAAACAGCAATACATTAGGCATCGCAGGCAACCAGTGCCATAGTGTGCAGGACCTTGGCTGCATTCAGATAGAATGGGAGGATGTTAATTTTCCATAGTAGGAAGCAAGGTCTGAGGCAGGAGATAAAAGTCTCAGACAGCTATCATTCTCCAAGTGCAGAGGTTTCTGTTTGTTCTGTTTGACATGATGTCGATCAATGGCATAGTTAGAAGACCAGGCTCAAAGATAGATATCTATGAAAGGATGGTAGAGCTCATGATCACAGAAGACTGCAGATCATAAACAACCATGATGACAGGAAACGTGAATTAAAGTCTGTCAGGGGAAACAATCTGTTCTCTAGTATTCTGATCATCTGAGTGCAAGCACCGTTCAGCCGAGGGTCTTCAAACATGTTCCTTCAGCAAAAGTTGATCTAATGATTGACTTCTGTCGAGGGCATAGGGTCACCAAAGGATATCATTTAGTATGATTCCTGCTGAATCGGCAAAAATTCACTCTGTGTGTACACATCTTAAGGGTGGCCACACAATCTCGCTGTATGATATCCTTCAGAATTAACAACTATATGTACTGTTAGCACTTGCCTAATCAATCCATTCAATTTACATCCAATAAGGTAGGTCATGATCACAGAAGACTGCAGATCATAAACAACCATGATGACAGGAAACGTGAATTAAAGTCTGTCAGGGGAAACAATCTGTTCTCTAGTGTTCTGAGCATTCAGCAATTCACTGGCCACTGCAGGGGTGTTGAAGAATTGTGTTTTCCCATTGCTGACCATGTGTAGCTAGGCGGGGTAAAGCATGCTGTATGCAATGTGGTGGTCTCAGAGGTGTTTTTGACATTAGTAAATTCTGCACGTAGAAGACAGCACTTCACAGTAACCACTACTATCCCGTTTAAAAAAAACCCCCAAAAAACAAAACCCAGTGCTTATGAAGAGTCAAGAAAACGATTCAGCCAAATGTCTGTATAGGGTTTTCTATCAGTATCTATGCAAATTCTCCTAAACACAGTTTGAGGGGTGTAACTTCTCCACAAACATCTAAGACAGCACTTAGATGCCTGAAAGACCTCAAAAGTAATTTAGATATAAGCACTATTCTGCTCGGTGACGAGTGTCATCCACTGGAATAATCTTCTCCTACTAGAAATCCAAATGGCCACTCAAACACCTAAAATGATCAAATCCAGATAAAAGTAAACAGAAGCTTTCATTAGAATACTTCATAAAAATAAATTGCTCTTGTTTCTCCCACACGTAACCCAATGCGTTTTGTTGGTCAATTCAATTTACGAACAAAACACATTGAGACACAAAAGAGCAATACAGGTAAATGCCGCAATGGACAGGAGACTCAAAATGCACAATTTTTCACCTCACTGGTGTACAGACAAAGTAAAACAGTCCGGACCAGATAGGACTCACTATGGAACATTCACACTTATAAACCAAAATGACTTGAAGGTCTTAGATATCTGGCGAGTGTGGTCTTCGATGTTGGTGGAAGAGTCACGTTCATGATTTGTGTTTTGAAGATTGAATCTCATGTTCACAAACATACATAAACCGGTGGAAAAAAATAAATAGACGTTTCAAAGATCTTTTTGCTTTGTCGAGTCTTTTGAAGTAGGTTATTTTTCAGACTGCGTAGTAGCGGTAAGCATTACTGAAAAACAGCACATTTTTCTCATGCGGTTTTAAAATGCATGTGAAAGTTAAGTGTCTACAATACCCTGAATTAAGTAACTGTACAAGTAATATATCTTTGTTAGGCACAAGAGGGTGTTAACATACAAGGAACATATAACAAATGTTGTGCATAAAGCTGGTGCTGAAAAATAATTGTTTTTTTTTAAGTTCTGAGATAAGCAACAGCGCTGTCCGGTGTCAGAATACCCGCATGCTCCATGAAGCTGATTGACTGCAAGCACCGTTTGGCTGAGGGTCTTCAAACATGTTCCTTCAGCAAAAAGTTGATCTAATGATTGACTTCTGTCGAGGGCATAGGGTCACCAAAGGATCTAATTTAGTCTGATTCCTGCTGAATCGGCCGAAATTCGCTCCGTGTGTACACACCTTAAGGGTGGTCATACACCATCAAGTGGCCACACAATCTCGCTGTATGATATCCTTCAGAATTAACAACTATATGTAGTGTTAGCACCTGCCTAATCAATCCATTCAATTTACATCCAATCAGGTAGGTCCCTGCACTAAACATTTGAAGGAAGTTGTATAATCATATGGCATGTATGCAGGGGTGTAGAATTCCAATCGCCCGACGCCCGGGACAGGCAGTTTCGGGCATCGGGCGAGTTGTTTTTTTCTACATTTAGCCCGGCTGCGGGAAAGAAGCACGGCTAAATGTAGTGTGGAGCCGTTTCGTACAAGTGGTTTTGAATGGCTGTACAGCCGTCCAAAATCACTTGTAACGAGCCTGAATCTCACTCCCCTCCCCTCCCTCCCCCCTCCCCCCTTTCTATCTCCGGCGGCCGGCCATGTACCTCTCCCAGCTGTCTCTGGCTGCACGCTGGCTTCTTTTCTGCCCTGGTCTTCGGGGTCCCCCCCTCTTGTGAGGGAACCGGGACCAGGCAAATTAGATTAGGTTACAGCACGGAGCAAAGAACGCTTCTTTGCTCCGTGTGTGCAGTGATACAGGAATGCAGCCTTCCTGTCACAGGAGGACAAGCACAGTATTGTGCTACAACTCCTGTGTTGGAGGTGACAGGGTCAATAAAGAGAACCTGTCACCTCCAAATGCTTTCACACAGGGGCTTGTTAGCCCTTGTGTAATAGCAATAAAGTTAAGTGGAAAAAAAAAGTAAAAAAATAAATGACAATTAAAAAATGGAAATACATAAAAATGGAAAAAATAAAAAAAGGCGATAAAGTAAAAAAAATAATACAAATAAATGAGAATTAAAAATAACCAATATTACAAAGTAAAAAAAAAAAGGAAAAAATAAAAATAAAACCCCAGCTGCACCCACCATCTGCATGCATGGGGTATTGTGTGTGATTGGAGTGAGCGATCCGTTACCGCACGGCAATTGTGCACAAAATCGTGTGGATGACCTAGAGGTCACAGAATCACATACCACCGCCGATCGCACTGGCGGTGCCATTATTGTCTAATGGCTCTGCCAGATGGCGTTGTCTCCCGCCACAATACCGCCCGTGCAATCAGACATAATCACGGTTGAAAACACTGCATGGTGCGTGTTGCGAAAAAAGGCACATGTACCTTTTTTCAGTGATTGCCACACGGATGTAACTCCACTGAAATCAATGGGGCCGCGCGGCAACTGCTGCATGCAACCGCACACGATCGCCCAAGTCTGCACCAGCCCTAAAGGGTAAATTCACTTTCCCAAGTAATTTGGAAAAATGGAATTATCTGCTCAAATCTGGCCCCCTCCTGCTATACTTGCCTTTCAGGGAACGGTCCTTCCCATCCGCCAATATGGGTGTACTATCTATAATTGTTCCATGTATTCTGAATTTCACTCGCAAATTGCAAGCACTCGTTGGTCAGCGCAGTCACCTGACGCCACTGACCAAAGAGAAGCTCTTCTTGGCACTGCTAGATACGGTTTGGATAAAATTATTTTTTTTGTATCAGGACAAGCAGATTGTCATGAGGGACAAGTAGATCGGGCCCCCGCTTTAGTCCTTGGACAAGTAGGTTTTTTTTTAAATTTCTACACCCCTGGTATGGCTACCTTAAAGTGTATGTGAATCCTAACAATGAGCTTCTATTATTTGCTCACTTTTGGACTGATAAACATACTGCTGAAAATGTTCTGCAATATCCTTTTCATAAGTTTGTTGTTACTGCCAGAAATCTTGCGGGCTGATAACTTTATGCATCGGTTAGCGCTATGTTATCGGTTAGCACTGTTTCAAGCTCTTGCTATTGACTACAGAACACCTACCTCCGTACTGCATATGAGAAGTGGAGTTTTGTAGTCTTAACACTTTCTATCCCAGGGTAACGACGCAAGGACACTAAAGTAGCACAAACATCTAAAGACTGCAACATATTCAGTTTTTGATCTTGGCTTTAAGAACTGACCTCAATGCAATTGTCAGCAGCTACATATTGGATCACATCACTGCATTATAACAGATCAAAGTGTGTAACTGAAACAGTGGATAGCAGAAATTGTCTTATGATGACCATGTACAGTATTGAGAGATGGGCTCATCTCTCAATACTGCATAGGCAATCCCAGCCATTTGTTAGACAGTTCAGGGCTACGCTTGATGCACTGGTAATACCCAGTGGCATAATAAGATAATCATACACATGAAACGAGTCGAAAACTAAAAATTGTACACGTAGCCCTGAATATCCAGATCATTTTTTTTTACTATATATTATTTTACATAAAAAGGTGACTGGATGCTTTGAGCAACAAGAGAAGATTTGTCCCAGAGCGGCGCGCCCGGGAGCAGCGAGAGGACTCCCCGCAACGATCGGAGAGAGATTCAGTGGCTTCCTCTGGATTACTGGACTCGGAAGTGATGTGTATTACATCACTTCCGGTGTCACTTGTTACAGTCTCTGGGTCTTAGAGCCAGGAGAAGAAGCTGGGCAGAGCTCTTCTTCTTCAGCTTCTTTGGGATCCCTAGGTGGCATTAGGAGTCTGAAAGACCCCTGATGTCACCATAAAGAGGGCCTGCCACACCCTATCTGCTATTACATAGGGGCTTGTTAGCCCCCTATGTGATAGCAATAATGTTAGTGTAAAAGTCCCCCGCCCCCACATACACACACAAACATGCATTGGTGCGCCTACGTGCGAAAACGACAATTACGCTGGACGTTACATATCGCCGCGAACGTCGGAGTGAGAGCAATAATTCTAGGGCCATCAATCACTGTTAGCACTAAACTGATGAATGGTAAAAGCGTTTCAAGTGTTCCCTATGGGAAATTTGGGGTATTGACGTTTTTTTTAAGGCTTGACATGTTTGGTATCTAATTACCTGGCGTGACCCCAACTCTCATATTTTGCCAAACAAATGGGTATTATATTCTGCACTAAATTTTAATTTTGTTTATTTTATCCTAAAAATATTGGTTTGATAAATAATTGCGCAAATACCGTGCAACATAAGAAATTGCAACTAGCATCTTTTTATTCTACAGGACCTCTGCTTTCAGAAAACATATCATTGTTTGGGGTCTGGAGCTGTTTTCTAGCCAAACAATTATATTTTATCATGTGTGCGCAAGTAGTAAGAAATTGCTCCGGACCGCAAGTGGTTAAGATCCAACTCCTGAGTTTAGTGTCACTTTAACCACATACACTCTTATAACCATAAAACTGCTAACATCTTGATTGGAAACTCACCTAAAAGCACTGTTTGTGGCACTGTCCGTGCAGCCTGTAGCATCTCCTTCACCTTTGCTTCGGAGCTCACCACTAGAAATGTATGTCCAATAAATAATGGTAGCATGGCTTGGAGTTGGAACTGGTCTAGAACCTTTCTAGTGACCTGGGGACAGAGAAACATCACAGAAGTCCATAAATCAATTTTCTCTATCTCCCACAATGTATACATGTATCTTTTTTTACTTTAGTACCTGATTAGGAAAAACTTTGATATGAAGGTCATGCTTGAAAAGCCTGTGTCGAAAAAGTAAAAAGTCCTCTGCTCCGATTGAATTGCGCTGAAACACTGCAATCATCTTACTGTTCTGGAGAACTGCAGATAGCTGGGTACACAGAAATCGCTCCAGTAGGTTCTCCTAAAAATAAGGCACAGAACTTTTAGCACACAAATACTTGCAATTAAAGTATAGCTATACTTCTGTCTGTGTTGCTTTTAGAGAAATGTCCCTTTACTTCCTTTCTGAGGACAACCTTTTCTAGAGGGCATAAAAAATGTGTACTTAGAGTCGGGTATAAAGTAAGATCTTGTTCAAGTCTGGGAATATTCAACACATACCTTAATGAGAGTGCTGTCACTTTAAATAAGCTTCAAGTAGAGCTGATCAGTAAAAACAAATACCAATGTATCCTCCCTCTCCAACCCATTAGAAGATACTTTGGTTTTCCTTAGGGCAGGTTCACACCACATCCAGATCATCTCCAGACCAGACCAGATTGTTTCCGGACCCAAAATGCATCCTAATGTATCCCTATGCTATTTCTGGTCTCTGTTCACACCAGCGCAGTCCGTTCCAGACCAGACCGCATGTCTCATTTTGTCTGGTCTGGAATGCACTGGAACTGCGTGCAGGTTCACACCATTTTCCGGACCAGATCTGGTCCAGGAAAAGGGGAGAACCTGCCCCCCATTCACACCACATCCAGATCATCTCCAGACCAGACCAGATTGTTTCCAGACCCAAAATGCATCCTAATGTATCCCTATGCTATTTCTTTCCTCTATTCACACCAGTGCGATCCGTTCCAGACTAGACCAGACAAATACTGCATGTCTCATTTGTCTGGTCTGGAATGCACTGAAACTGTGTGCAGGTTCTCACCATTTTCCGGACCAGATCTGGTTCACAAAATGGTGAGAACCTGCCCTTAAACTTGCATGCCTGCATTGTGTTAATGAGGCAATTATCAGCAGCTGCATGAGCCGTGACAAGGGAGCCATCCCTATCCCCTCCCGTCATTGTTGCAGCAACTGGGCCAGCTAAATTAGGACCCCACCTGGAGCTCCACCCACCGGACCGGCGCTGACTCGTCGCTGCTTTAGTCTCCCGCACAGCACCACAGTGAGTAAGGGGGGGTGGCACTATTAAGCAGGGGCTAATTGCACATCTATTGTCTCCATTGTATTAGCAGTGTGTACCCTATATGTAATAGGTATAAAGTACACACTGCTTATGCACTGGACACAATAGATTTACAATTATGCTCTGCTAACATGAATGGATTAAATGATCCATATGTAGCCCTGTACTATGGATCATTTAACCCATTCATGTTAGCAGAGGATAATTGTAAATCTATTGTTGCAGTGCACTCTATAAGTACATGTACTATATACTACATATAGTATGCACAGCAACAATAGATTTACAATTATGCCCTGCTAATATGAATGGGTTAAATGATCCGTAGTACATAATATGTAGTTGTACTATGGATCATTTAACCCATTTATGTTAGCAGTGCAGAATTGTATATCTATTACTGCAGTGCATTCTATCTGTACACATGTCCCGTACACTGCAGCAATAGATTTACAATGATCCCCTGCTAACATGAATGGGTTAAAGGATCCGTAGTACAACTACATGTTATGTACTATTATGTACTACGCACCATTTAAACTATTCATGTTAGCAGGGGATAATTGTAACTCCGTTACTGCAGTGTACGGGACATGTGTACTGTAAATATACTATGGATCATGATTTAATCTATTCATGTTAGCAGGGCAGAATTGTGAGCGCCTCCCACAAGCTGAGTACCGAGATGCGATGCAGCGATCCTGCCCAGCGCCGACTACGAGAGGCACCGCGTGAGGCACCAGGGATCGGAGTGAAACTGTGAGTGAGGGAAGCTGGGAAGGGGCTGGCTGTAAATCTATTGCTATAGTGTACTGGACGTGTGTACTGTATATGTAGTACATATATTCAGCACACACCTCCACTACACTACAGCAATAGATTTACAATTCTCCCCTGCGGAATCATGATCCATAGTACATAACATGTAGTTGTACTATGGATCATTTAAAGTCACCTGTCCCTTTAAAAAAAAAAAAAAAGTATCAGTAATTGCTATCGGCAAGTACATGAGGGGAAGTACTTGGGCCTGAGAAAGGGGCATCGGGACATCCCTAGTAAACAGTAATAGTGGTATGCATTAAGCCTGCTATCAAAGTATAAGACACGTGTTCCCCTGCCTAAGAGCTCTATGGGTACAAATGTAGGACCACATATGCACACTTCCGTCATAGTGAGTGTCTGAATATGAGGCTAGAGGGTATCGGGACATTGGGCGTGGGTACAGATGGGAGCATCTGGCCCCTAACTTTTGAAGTTTTCTTTAATTGCTGTCAATGGACCTGGCTTCTAGAAAATATCCTGACTCCAGATAGGACAGACTGGCTCCGGCATTATATATTAATTTGTCCATTTTTTGTAGTGGCCAAAATATCGGCGCTGAACACCAAAAACGTCCAGAGTTGGGCTCCTGGTACTGAAATCATTTTTCCATACCAGCTTCAAGATCTTTCAAATATTACTCTTACCTTGCCAGTGTCTTCAGGTCTAGTTCTTGGCTGCAGACACTTCTCATCGGAAGGCTTAGGTGGAATATACTTTGTAAGCGCCATAATCTTTTGCCTCTCAAAGTGCATGGCCTTCTTATGACGGGTAACTGCTTTGGAGCCATGGCGGACACACTGGAAGGACGGAAGCCAGGCTGAGAAAAAAAAAAAGACACTGTTAATTCTTTTGGGGTAGTGGGGTAGCCATTACAATGGACAGAGCATTTTTGTTGGAGCAGCAGACCAGAGTTTTTAAGTAACCAATGTTACTCACTGATGGAGAAGGTCACGGATACAGAAAAAAAACAAAGGGGAAAAATCAAAAGTTTCAGATCATTACAAATTTACAAGAATGCTGCCAACTAGAGCTGCAACTAATGATTAATTTTCATGATTGATTAATCGGATAAAAAAATTAAAGACCATCCTTCATTTAACCACTTGCTGACCGGGGTGTTTATACCCCCTTCCTGACCAGGCCATCGTTCAGTATTCAGCGCTGCGGTACTTTGACTGACATTTATTCCGGCATGCAACGATGTACTGAAATTAATTTTATACCATTTTTGGGGACACATAGAGCTTTCTTTTGCTGGTATTTAATCACCACTACGGGTTTTTTTTTTTTTACTGTATAATAAAAAAAATACTGACATTTTTGAAAAAAAAAACCTGTTCTCCCTACGTTATGTTATAAAACATTTATTATTACCCAATTTTTTGGTAAAATATAAGACAGGGTTATGTTGGGTAAATAGACACCAAACATGTCAAGCTTAAAAATTGCGCGCACCTGTTAAATTGCAAAAAAACTACCATACTCAAAATTGTCCATAGCCGACGCTATAAAAGCGTTCCAGTGCGGGCGATCACACTGTGGGTGGAATCCGCAGACGGCATCTGAATGTGAATACAGCAGTTAGTGGGCTGGTGCAATAACCAGCCTGCTATTGGCCGTTTCTAAATGCAATAGCCGATAGCAGGCTGGCTATTGCACCTGCCCACTGCTTGCTGTGCCCTCCTCCCAGCGTGGAGGATAGAGATAGGCGATCCAACCAACTAATCGATAATTAGAACAGTTGACAACTATTCTCATTATCGATTAGTTGGTTGCAACCCTACTGCCACCAACTGCAAGAACACCCCTCCCCCATCCAGACATGGTAAACCCACACACGCTACCACCACACACAAATTACAAGTTTGCAAGCGACCCATATTCCTTATGCTTTTAGTAAGACAACTGTGCTCTCCAGCTGATATCCGGCTCGTACATAAGTTTTGCTGCTTTCTCTAGTTGTAAGAGAGAATTTGTAAGAGAGTTGCATTTCAAACATTTGAACAAAACGGGCTTTCCGTATACATTTTCTGAATACCACAGTATATAACATGCAGCTACCAGGCATCTAAGAGATCTTGTGCAATGCAGGCATGTGGGGCTGGCGGTAATGAAGAGTCGGAGAGTCTCTGCAGAAGACTAATGCAGGGAATGGCTGCAATGTAGATAGATGTATATCCTGGACCAGCCTTTCTCTCAGGGAGCCGCCACACACTGGGGTGCCTCGAAATGTTTGCGTAGCGTCATTTCCATGGTTCAGGTGGGCCGGCCAACAACACCATGGAAGTCAATGGTGCTAATCCAGTGTGGGTGGTATGCATTCAAAAAAAGGACAAAAATACAACTCCGCCCAGGCCTTCTCTGCCTCTTGCCCCGTGCAATGCTGCCACATCCTGTACGCAAATGTGAGGGCAGGACTCTGATGTGAAGGGGGTTTTGAGGATTTCACAGGGTGAAGGGGTCCACACTTTTTTTGTGTTTTTTGCAAGGAGTCACCCCTTAAAATCCATACCCTATCTATGATAAAGAGTCTGACATGGATTTTGGGGTCCACTCAAGGTTTTTTTTACATTTTAGACTGGGGTGCCTCGAGATTTTGCTTGCTTTCAAATAAGGTTGATTCTGATTGGTTACTCTGGGTAACAGCTCCAGATTCTGTCTGCTCCGGTTTTGATAACTTCCCCACATGGCACTTGTGTACCATGGATTCTGGCACACTTCAACGCACAAGCTTTGGCAGGTGCACTTGGGATGCCATTAAAGAAAAACCCAGAGCAAGACATGTATTAACCCTTGCAGTGCGGCTACCCCTGCACTGCAAGGGTTGAGTGCTTGTTTTTGTCTATCTTCGGAGCTGGCTTGTTCCTAGACCGATCCCTGGAGCCTCTCTTCCCCCCTCCGCTGCAGCGGTCTAAGGTCTCAGAAATCACCGCGTTCTATACACAGTGTATAGACCTGAGGACGCCAAGGAAAATGTGCCGGTGTCCTGTCGAAATAGGCAACCGTGTCACTCCCGGTGACTTGCCAGCATGAGATTTCGACTAGCTGGCGGTAGTGTGCATGCGTGCATAACAGAAAGCCCATGAGAATACTCCTCAAGTTGCAGAATCAAACAGAACGCACTACCAGCACCAAGCGAAATAAAGCCCTTGTATTAGTTTCATACCAAGGCATGAGCGCTGGCAGCAATTGCACAACTCTGCGAGTATTCTTACGAGCTTTCTGTTATGACACCGGGTGCACACGCATGCGCACTACCACTAAGTCGTCAAAATCTCCTGCTGGCAAGTCACTGGAAGTGACTCAGTTGCCTCTTTTGACAGAACACTGGCTCAGTGGTTCGGGTGAGTTCAACTTTTTTTTTTAAGCACCTAGACAAAAATGAGCAGTAGCCCCACTGCAAGGGTTGGTAAACGTTTTGCCCAGAGGTCATTAAGAATGAATAGTAGCACACCTGCACAAACAAAACCTGCGTTGTTTGTGTGCTGCAGGAAAATGTGTAATTTGTCACGCATTGCCCAGGTCCGAACCAGGTACATTGGACATGTGCGTCTCATGCTGCAGTGTTTTGGTTCTACTTGCTGTGTGTCTGACACACCCAGAAGCATTGGATGCTGCATCTTTCCAGGCCAGCGCAGCTCAGCAAGTTATTATTACTGTTATTTTAGGGGTACTGTCGCCGATGGACGTGTGAGTTTCAGTGGATTGCAATACCAAAAACCAGTACATGCACCTTTCGTGGCGCATTCAGCAGCCCATTTATGCGACACACCAGAGGCATGTTCAGTTGCTCAGACGCTGCGAGTGCTGAGTTAGCATTGCTAACTTAGCACTCGCAGCGGAAATGAATGTGATTGCAGGACGCCGAGTGTGACGGAGAAGGTGGGGACAGTGCACTAGCAGCCATTTTAACTGTGGGCACACCTGGCAGCGTTGGGGAAAGGTGCCTGAACACCCGATGGAGGAAAACAATTCAGTGTGGGAACCTACAATTTATTGTTTTGGTGGACGAGCATACCAAATATTTGTTGGAAAATTGTATTAGTCAAAAATATTATCTTCCACCATTTTGCTTAGCACTGCGCACCTGAAGCATTCAGTGAAGCTGCTGCAGCAAAGTGCTGCAGAATAGCTACTCAGCGCTTGGCTAAGGAACTGAACACACCTCTGGGCTACAGTAGCACCACAATGTGACTGAGCCCCAAAAGGTGTTTTTTTTTTTCTGTTTTCTGGACATTTGTACATTCACAGCTTTCATTAGGCTAGGAAATGAATTGTAGTAACACTAATGAAATCTAAAAGGAGAATGTCTGCCATGACTATTGAGGAGAGTGCAGGCTGGACTCATGAATGACAGCCATCAGTCTGACCTACACAGAGTGACATAAAGGTCACATTTGCGCTAACAACACCACCGGCCTACATGTAGATCACGTGGCTTTGTAGCCCGCGGCAGCGCGCCCCCCATTCCACTACAGCGCCCGCGGCTGGTCACGTGTCCTCACCTAGCTCCCGAGCTGCTCCTCTCACCAAGGCCGCCGCCATGCTGCCGGAAGGAACCAGGAGAGCAGAGGCGGCGCACAGTATCATGGGAGCCGGGTCGTATCCTAGCAACTGAGGACGCGCACAGAAGTCAAAGTCAATTAAAAACATTACACACACAGCTCGCACGGAGTGATTCACTATGGCTGAAGGTGAGTATGGCACCGACTATGACTGGTGTATATCTGTGTGTGTGTACAATGAATGATCTTCTGCCTCCCTTCTGCAGAGAAGAATGGTCAGGAGCTGGAACCCATACTGGCTGCCATACTGAGGAGAAATGTGAACCTTTCTGTGAGTGGAGCTACACAGGAGGCCGTGTAAGTGTCTTCAGCCTTTACAATGTGTTCTAGATGCATGTATAAAAGCATTTAGCAGAAAGTGACCCTGTGCTGTAGACATGTTTGGCAATATGTTACACATCAAACTACAAGCAAGTTCCAAGGGCTTGTTCACACCAGCTGCATGCTAAAACGGTCCGTCCGCTGAGTGGGAGAAGTGTGTTGTGGCATGCGTTGTAATAAAGGCACTGTGTACGTTTTTTTTACAAAAAATGTATTGGCAGTGTACACTCCATTCAAGGTCTTTGCACAGCAGCGCTGTGGTGCAGTGATCTCCAGTGCCATCCAGTGCTCTGCGGGAAAATGCAGCAAGTCTGCATTTTTCTGCACCACACATCAAGCAGTCATTGCAGCTGATCCGGGGCGGAAAAACACCACCGTCACCACTAAAGGTGTGAACAAGCCTTAAAGCTGGCCATAGACGACTCAAAATCCCTATTTAATTGGTCAAAATTTGATCTATGAGTGGCCCTGTTGGCACCACAAAAAGCGTTTGATAGAGCTGGGTGAAAAATTGCCGGTCACACAGTGACTGCATCCACTCAGATGCGGTCATTGCTCGATTATTGAAACACTCACAGGTGCCAACTGTCTGCCTTCAATAGCCCTGGAGTAGGCAACCTTGGCCCTCCAGCTGTTGCAGAACTACAAGTCCCATGAGGCATTGCAAGACTGACAGCCACAGGCATGACTCCCAGAGGCAAAGGCATGTTGGGATTTGTAGTTTCACCACATCTGGAGCGCCAACAGACAAACGGGGGAATTGAGTGATTACTCCTGTTTATCCCTGTGGGGAAAAAAATGCTCCACAGGGGCACCTGCTGTGTGAGGCCAGTTATAGAAACTCTATCACATTTTTATTGCTGCCCTTTTTCATGTTGGACAGATTAACCCTCTCTTATTTTTCCTTGTGAACAGTGTCACATGAACAAAAAATAACGGGAAATCCAAACTTTTACAGATCTCTTTTGATGCCCTATTGTGTCTGTATGACAAGACATGAATTGAAATCTCTCAGGACGCAGACATAAAAAAAAAAACATCCAGCGCTGAGATCTCCAGTTCTGGCTAAATTACGATGATCATAGTGAGTCGCTTGGTGTACATATCGTTAATTGAGAAAAAGCTCTGCATTCTTTTCAATCACTCAAGGCATTCTGTGATTGGAGGAGGGGAGAGTGTGAGTTTATCCTCACCTCCTCCAATCACAGAACACCTTGCATAAATAAATACGAATTTCCTATGCTCCTCAGCTCCATCTAGTGGCCAAAATGCAGTATGTTCCTGACTCACACTGATCTTCTGAATGGATTACATGCAACCTGGAATTAAATAGAAACACATAGTGATAAGATTATGTACATCAAGTTGATCTCTTTTACTTGTTTATGAAAAGAAAATTGAAATGTTCTCATTAACATGTTTTAACAGGTCTTCAGCATTAAACCGTCTACAGATAGTGAGACTGGACAGAGAAGGCATCACAAAACTGAGTAATCTGGAGGCTATAAGCAGTGCACACAGCCTGTACCTCCAAGAGGTAACCCAGTTAATTGCCGGCTAGGAACCACAATGAGCAATGGAGTATATGCTGTCTGACACATCCAGAAATGTCGGATAGCTTTTGTGCCAGTAGAGAGCAAAGATTAAAGAAGAAGAACTCCGGGCCAAAATTGTATTAATGCTTAAAGTGGGGCATTGCAAAGATTAACTACTCATTTTAGTATACAGGAGGAAAATAACAAAGATATATTCACCCGATCCTCTGAGCCGGCTGGCTGTGACAGCACTCTCTCCTGCCTGTCTCCTCCTACACTGCAGCGATCATATGTCCCTCGCTGTCCTCACGTCCTGTACACTGTGTATAGAAGGTGATGACTCCGGGACCTTAGACTTCTGCACTGGAGGTGGAGCGAGGCGGTAGGACCAGTCTAAGAGCAAGCCAGATCCAAGTATCAGGTTAGTATACTTTTTTTTTTTTACTTTCCTCCCTAGACCAAAATGAGCAGTTAACCCTTGCAATGTGGGGGTAGCCCCACTGCAAGGGTTAATACATTTTTCCCCCCAGAGTTCTTCTTTAAAGCAGGCCATACACTCGTAGATTTTCATACAGAAATCTTATGAGAACTTTCGCTATCGCCATCAGAGACTTTACAAATGTTTGTCCGAGAAAAAGTTTCTATCCCGCTCCTTCACTTTTTTTTTGTCACAATGGTCAAAAATGATTGTCAATTTGACCCCATTAAAGGAGTAGTGTGGGTAGAGTAAATTATATTCTCCTTGCTACTTGGATTACTGTGGATTACTGCAGCTGTCGCACCCTGGCTCTAAGACCGAGAGCTGAATCACTCAGCTCTTGGTGTCTTCCCCTTGCGGAGAGCAGTGGCTGTCAGGTACCGCCCAGCACAGGGATTCCCCCTCCCATCTCTGTTCCTCCATCAGTCATTGGAGGGGCAAACGGGGAGAGGGCGGGCACAACTGGCTCTGGCTCTAGAGAGGCTGTGGCAGCCGTGGCGGATCCCAATAATGTTAGTAATTGTACTCCTGTGACCCAAAACAGAAGTAAAGCCCCAAAAAGGTTTGGTTTTACTCCTCTTTTAACTATTAGAAAATCAAACAAACGTTCCGAAATTTTTTCAAATGAAATTCTACTGGTGTATGGCCAGCTTTATTCTCTGCCGGTCAGAAAATATTGAATTGTTTGTGTGCTGATTTGTTTTTGTTTTTTTTATTGTAGCGACAGGGTTCCTTTAACAGAGCGCAAAGAGATCACAACTGCTTCTAGTAAAATAAGTATTATGCACAAAAAGGTCGTAGTCAGATTCTTTTTTATGTTGCATGGTATGTGAGCTAATGTTTATCATCTAAATTTTTAGTAAACACACATTTTTCTTTTTTAATGCACACGAGCAAAATATCATCTTAAAATGTTCCATTTAACAGAAAGCAAAATATAAAACAGAAGACTTTGTCACGTTAATAAATGCCAAATATATCAAGACTCGGAATCAGTGCCTTTATACATTTATTTTTCTTGTTATAAATCTAAGGTAGAGTTTTATTCTGTGTGCCCAATGGGGAGATTCACTCTCAATATTGGACCTGGTGATCATTGTGCCTGTCACAGGCCTACAATTTAGAGTTGTCCCATGGACAGAAGGTGAGGAGAAAGGTGTGGCAGCTGCCACAGCATCCCAGGTTGCTAAGAGCTCTGTCTAGCTTCCTGCCCCTGCCCAGCTCACTAATGTCATTGGTGGCCAGGAAGCTGAGGGGGAGACTGGCTGGCGTCTCCCTGAGTTTGTGGCAAACTGTGACGTCAGAGAGACGCTCAAAGCACGGCTCTACACAGCTGTTTCTTTCTTTCCCGCCACATCTGCTGATCAAAGCACCCCCTCCAGTACTATTAGCAGCACATGCTGCACCCTCCAGTACTATTAGCAGCACCTGCTGCCCCCTCCAGTACTATTAGCAGCACCTGCTGCCTCCTCCAGTACTATCAGCAGCAACCGCTGCCTTCCCCCCAGCACTATCAGCAGCAATCGCTGCCTTCCCCCCCAGCACTATCAGCAGAAACCGCTGCCTTCCCCCCCAGCACTATCAGCAGCATCCGCTGAACCTGTGTCAGGCGGCATATATGATAGTGACGGCCCGGACTAAATGTCCGATTACATGCTAACAGCCACAAAAGGTTGTAAGCGCTATCCGCTGATATTCATTTGTGTATAATAACAAAGATATACTCACCCAATGCTCCAAGCCGGCCAGCTGTCACAGCGCTCTCTCCAGCTTGTCTCTCCCTCCATGCAGCATTATAATCTTCCTCAGCGTCCTCACATCTATACCTGGTGTATACTGTAGACGTTGATGATTTCCGAGACCCCTGCAGAGGAGGTGGAGAGAAATTGGAAGGACGGGTCTAAGAAGTAGCTGGCTTGGAGCTTTGGATGAGTATATCTTTGTTTTTTTTAACCCAGATACAAGTGAGCAGTTAACCCTTGCCTTGATTAATTAAAAAAAAAAAAATCCTGGAGTTCTTTTTTATTCCTGGAGTTAACCCTGCAAGGATTCATTAAAAAAAAATCCTTGAGTTCTTTTGGAATGTGTTGCATTAGGACAGCCCATTTGTTGGAAGGGGCTGTCCAATGCACCACAGTGGAACAACATTTATGCATGCAGCATTTTTGGCACAGCAAACCACAATAGTTAGTTGCTGTACATTGCACTGCACTGCAGGTGCTAAGGGAAGATGCATTGAGGTGCCTTTTAGAATAAATGGTATCTCAGCACGTTACTGTGAGTTGCGTTACAGCAGAGCAGTAGTGTGAATAGGTCTTACTTCAGCATTTGTTTACAGATAACGTGTTTGACCTTCAATTTCTCTCTTCTTAGAATCAAATAAAGAAAATCGAAAATGTAGAAGTTCTGAAGAATCTGCAGTGAGTGTAATCAGCAACCTTTATATCCGCTTACTAGCTGATAGCCGCATGATAGTCATGTTTATCTGTTTGCAGCAATCTACCCGTTACTTAGTATAACCTGATAGCTGGTTGACATTGCTTTCTATTGTTCACCACAAATGTGATGGCACCTGACTGTTTCCTTCTTTGGTAGCATCTATGCAGTACTTTACAGATGACTAGGATTTCATTTTCTCTTCTATACTTCTCAAAACACAATAAAAAAGGGGCAAATGTCATTTGATCATTTACTGCCAGATTACTACCTCTATCTGTTAAGTGGCAGATTCTGAGCCCAAGGTCTTATGCACAACACGGTATTCGCCTGCAAAAGTATAATCACAAACTGGGTGTATCTTGGTAACACTAGACTGACACTTTCTGCATTATATGAGAGACATCAGTGGTTCCCAGCCTTGTTGGCTAATGTCACTTCTCTCAGGTCATCCAAGAGCTCAGGAACCTTCTAAGAATTTATAAACTCAATTCTTTTTTGAAGTGACTCCTTCGCTATTTAAAAAAACCTTTAATGAGCAGCTCCCTGCAATTTATTGTTTTCCTGCTGCCCTTGCCCCGGAACACCACTTCTTTGAAGATCAAAGCTTTACTGAAGAATGTTCAGCATTCGACACTTCAGGTAGTGTTAGATACCTGCGTCTCTCATTGTGCTCTGTGGCTTCTTCTGCCTGCCAATGTCCTACAGGGATATGGGGGCTGGCGGAGAAAATCGTTGCACACAACTGGGGACCAGTATTGTGATATACCTAGAAGGGTGCCAAGTGCTGTAGATCTTTCACCAAGCCAAGACAAAGCAGCAGTGAAACGTAGTTCTGCAGGGACAGGTAAGTGTTCACTGCTCTTCTGCAGGGAGCTGCTCATTTCATTTTTTAAAGTGTACGTAACCCTAAATATATTTTTCTGTATGTGTGGTATCATGCCTCACTGTATACAGTTTTTTAAGCACACATTTTTGTGTGAATCTGTTGCTTGCCAGTTACAGCACTTCCTGTTGCAGGCTGACAATGCTAAACAACTGCCACAGCAGTGTGGACAGCCTGCTGTGTCAGCTCCCTCAGTAGGCCGTTGGGGGGCAGTAGGCAGGGGGGCCAAGCCCGGCATGGTCTGCCTCTAGGGACCAGTTGATGGACAGACTGCTCCCCTCCAGGTGTCCGGACCCCCATACAGAGAAGGAGGAGAGGAGCCTGTCCATTAAACTGATTACCATGGCAAGTAGGCAGGATCGACCACTGGGCAGGCCAATAAGGGTCTGCTCACCTGCATTGTGCTTAGGCTCCGCCCTGCCCCATGATTAGGTGCCCCTCATGTACCACCCACAGTCAATGATGTCTCCATTGGAACGAGCTGGAGTCCTGCCCTGAGGTAAACTGCAAGGGGTGAGCAGCTTAGAAGAAAGTAGGGGGGTAAACAATATAAGAAGAGGGATTGAAAAGTCTACAGAAGTTAATAGTGTTGGAAGAGGGTGGCAGCCTGCTACCCTCTTCCAACACTATTACCTTCTTCCCCCTCTGCATCCCTCTTACTACAATGCTCACCTCTGCACCTTCTGCCACAGGGCAGAGCCTGCAGTCACGGGTGCAGTGGCAACCCAAATATAATAGCTTGCAGTAAAGATTCTTCCATCCACGCTGTTTAGTATTGATGGGGGAATCGAGGCGTGTATGGTGGTCTTTACGTACTGCTTTACCCTCTACATTTGAGAAATAATGAGGATTAATGGTCTAGTTATAACCTGGCTTAATTCCTTAAGTACCTTGGGGTGCAGGTTATCCGGACCCACTGCTTTGTTTGCATTGAGCATTTTAAGTCTTTGTTGTATTCTGGTTTCCGTCAACCACTGGGGTATATTTTGAGTTAAACTGGGAGTTTTATCATGTGTGTCAAACCCGTTTCCCTCCCGAGTGTATACTGAGGAGAAAAAAGCGTTCAGCGCCTCGGCCCTCTCCTTGTCGTTTGTGACTAGCTTCCCGCTTTCGTCCTTTATTGGGCCTATCTGCTCCTTTCTCACCTTTTTACTGTTAATATATTGGTAGCATATATTAACTACATATTAGCCTAACATAGTAGCCTAGAATGAAGATTAGCCCGGGACAGAAGAAGAGCATGTCCCGGGCTCTTGATTCTGAATAAACTGTTACAAGATATATCAGTATGTTTTTCTTCTCCTTTGTTATATAGTATTCAATTTCTGTAGTAGGAGAATATTTTTAAACAGAAATGGAAAACTGAGTTCATTAAAGGAGACACTGCAGCTGTCACACGTCGGCTCTATAGATCAAGAACTGCACAATCGCAAACCGCTGATCACTCAGCTCACGGCTTCTCCCTGCAGAGAGTGGTGACTGTGAGTCACTGCTCCCCGCAGGGATTCCCCTCTCTTTGTTCTCCTAGTGCTCATTGAAGGTACAGACAGAGGAGGGGATGAGCACAGCTGGCTCTGGCTCTATCGAGGCAGAGTCAGCTGCCAATCAGGACCTTTCCTGGCTTTAGTTGGCTCTGTGTTGTCAGCATAGAGCGGGCAATAGCCCACTATTGCTGAGTTTGGTTCTCAGGTGGACATTAGTAAATGTCCTCTAGTGACCCAAAATAGAACTGTAGACAAAAAAAAGGTTTTGCCATAGTTCTCTTTTAAAGTGTATTTTAATTTTAAAAAGATCAAACCAGTTCATTTTTTGCCTCTGCTTCCTGCTGAGTTCTGTCAACACTATCCACAGGTTTTGACTTGTAGTAGCGATGATAGACATGCGCAGTTCAGTTTACATAGGGAACAGCAGAACACCATATTCTTATATGGCGTTCTGCAGTTCCCTTTGTAAAGTGAACTGCGCAAGTCTATCATCGCTACTACAAGTACAAACCTGTGCACAGCAGGCCTGCAGTTCCCTAGTCAGCACTATGTTGGCACTGGCTGTCTTGCCCATGGCCCAGACTTCACTATCGCGATGGACAGCAGCTCCCATGCGTTGGCCATGCTAAGTGTAATTTGTAGTCCTCTGTGCTGTGGGACGAAGGAGTATTTCCAGAGTGGTTTGCTGATTATAAATGGGGCAAAATGCTTAGTGATTGCGTAATTGGATCATTCTGAATCGGTTAGCATTTACATACATTTTATTGGTATCTGGATATCTAAGGAAATACTATTTTCCACTAAGTATGTGGCCAGAGATTGAGGTTTCATATTCTGCTCTCTTTTTCTAAACTGTTATTTTTTCTTTTAGTGCTGAGATTGTATCACTGGTAGTAAATGCTTTGATGTTGTTTTTACCTTGAAGAGATACTGTATATTCAGTGTGTTCAGTCTTTCAGATATACTTGAAAGGTATGCCATGCCTTGTAGACTGGTGTGACAGGACATAGATATTAAAAAATGGCTCTAATTTATCTTGTGATGTTTGTTTAGTTGCATTTTGTTCAGGCCTCAACATCGGGCCTTCAGATTGCGTTAGGGTATAAAGGGGAATTTTTTTCCCTTGTTGGAGCAAATTGCACCAGGCTTTATAAGGATTATTTTTTCTCTTCCTCTGGACCAACTGTGGTTAACTGTGGGCATTGGGTTCTGATAAAGTGACATTAAAGTATAATTTTCTTCCCTCCCCCCAATGTTAATGTCAGCACTTACCTTAAATGATGTCTCTTAATCCGATCTTCTTCTTCTTTCCTGATGTTTTTATCTGTCCCTCCAGCGGTGTGGCGGTACTCCGATCCAGCACTGACTCCTCTGCTTTCTGGCTCTTCCTGTCCCATGGAGTCTGCATGTGGGTGCACGCGTCCATAGACTTACCCAGTGTCTCTCCTCATCTCCCTGCCGAAAATCTGAACTGCGCATGCGCCCGCCCCAAGATCCTTTGCGGCCGCCAGAGATTTTTCAGGTTTTCGTACGGGAGCGTGCGGGGAAGACAAAGGTAAGTTTTAACCTCTTTTAAAGCGTTTTTAAAAAGTTTTTGCATATATCTACTGCTTGCTAGCAGTAGATATATGCCAAAAAAAACCGGAGGGTTTAATAACCCTTTAAATTAGTTCTAAAGTCCCAGCATATACACTCCTAGTCTTCTACTCTCAGCATTGTAATAGGAATAAATACTAGAGTTGTTTTTGATAATGCAATCAAAGCTTACTTGAAAAAAAATCAGTTTTATGTAGTGAGTGCTGCCTTCTGTCTGTCCATCACTTTCTTGGATTTCCAGTGTGCTTTGCATCTCTTTCCCTGCTGCTTGATGTGATGCAATCTCAATTTCGCAGGACTACACATTCCTTCATGCATTGCTTGCAGCAAGCAATAGTTATGTTACATTGTGGGAAGTTGATTTTTAGTTCAGACAGCAGGCTTAGTTAGAGTGGTGATACAAGGAAATGCCTATTCACAGAGCTGAGTGAAATTATGTCAGTGCATTGAGGAAGTACATCCTATGGGCAACTTCAATAAGTAAGTTTACAAACTTCTAGATCAATATGGTTATTGGGAGTGGGCTATAACTGATATAAATTCAATATAGAATTACATATTTATTTTTAGTTTTTGACCATAGATAACCTTTAAAAGAGAACTATGGGGTAAGTATTTTTCCCCATAGTTCTCTTTAGGATCACGGGAGGACATAAACTAGCTTCCTGCCATGACCCAAAGCTCAGTATATTGTGGGCTACAGCTCGCAGTATACTGAGACCGCCGCAGCCGGGACGGATCCCGACAATCCTGTGGAAATCCACCCAGCTGCATGATTGACAGCTGGCTCTGCCTATCTAGAAGCAGAGCCAGCTGTACCTGCCCCTTCCTGTCCGTTCTTCCAGTCAGCACTGGAGGATCAGAGCAGGGAGGAGGGGGGAATCCCTGCGGGGAGTGGTGACTGACAGTTATGGCTCTCCGCAGGGAGATGATCGAAAAGGGAGCAAGCGACGGTATGTGTTTGCTCACTTCCCGATCTATTGAGCCGACGTGTGACAGTTTCATTGTCACACGTCGGCTCGAACTATGAAGCTGAGTGATTTTCACTCACCTCATAGTTCTCCTTTAATGGGGATTTTCTATTTATTTATTCATTCATCTTTTTTAAATTCTTTTGGAATTCAAATAGGAGATTTGAAAGCATGACCTGCTGAGTATGACTTGACTAAAGCCTGGCAATTCTAAAGGAGACTCTGAAAGAAACTGAATCTTTTTTTTAGACACCAATTAGAAATCGGCTTTCATCAATCTGCTCACCCTAAACTAATCTCTTATTGGTTGATGAGTGTTTTTACATCTTTTTAGTATTTTATTAATAAAGCCTTGCAGGATTATTTAATAAGACAGGGCAAACAGCAGTGGTCTGCAAAGTGCAGTAACACACAGCCACCAATCAGGTTTGACCTTTCTGTAGGTAGATGTGAATAGACCAATGAAAGGTAATTGCACGTCAAGTCGGCTGTATAACTAAGCAAATTCAGTTTTTAGCATCTAACAGAGTTGGCTTTACATTCACATTTGTATTTCAGGTTCCTTAGTCTTTCAGGGAACAGAATTGAGAACATTTCAAATCTCCACTGCTTGCGAAATCTGCAGTTCTTGGACCTATCTAATAATTTAATTCAGAAACTGAACCCTGGTGAGCTATTAAAAAAACTGAATTTTACAACAGGATTAAAATGACTATGTGCCTCTGGATCTCAAAAATGTCTCTTATCTGCACAGGAGAATTACCCCAGAATCTCCTTATCTTAGATGTGTCTGGAAATCCATGTACGAAGACAAACGGCTACAGGTGAGACATTAGAGAAATACTGTCGCACGCAGTGGATGGAGCCATTTTGTAATCAGAACCAGTGTTCAATTGAATATGGTATGGTGTGTACACATAGGGGTGTATTTATAAACAATTCACACAGCGAATCTCTGTGAACATTTGTTCGGTGTGAATAGAGCCAAAAACGAACATTCTTAGTCTATTTTCTGTTCTGGTCAAATGGAATATTCAGAAAATACTGCATTATGGCCATTAGATGGAGGCAAGGAGCATAGGAAATAAATACGTATTTTCTCAGTTCAATGAATCACAATTGCCTGCTGTTCTGAATTTCAGATCAGATTCTCCTGTTTCTCCTACCTCTCCCCCATTCCAGTGCTGCACCCTTGTAAAACCTCTTTAGTATTAAACACTTGCTGTAATGGTCAAATGCCTGTGTCCCCTTCCACGGCCCCCAGATAGGGGAGTATAGGCTATCTTCTATTGCAGGGGATTGTTGGATTTAGATCTCAAGGGCTCATTCACACCACGCCACTGTAGTAATGCATGTTGCTTGCATTGGTGTGCCATTCATTGTGAATGCCACCCTAAGGACCTCTGACGATGGACTTTTGTTCTCTTTAAATGGGTATTGCATTCCCATTCGAGTCTATTGGAGTGCAAAACCTGCTTGAACTTGGTCTGAAGATGCAGTTGTCAATTAGTTTTAAATAATGTCAGAAGGATGCTTTAAATGTTAAGCACACAGCAACAGGCCACCCTGGTGTAAATAGGACCTTATAGACCAGACAGGGCCTCTTTAAATTAAACTTGTTATGAGAGAAATACAGAGGTTTGCCAATGCTAACCCTCTTCTTAAAGTGCTAGTTGCCGGGCTGGCATGCTGACCCCACTAACTTCAATACTTTTGAGTCATAGAAACAGAAAAATAACACGGGTAGTGTTCAGCAGAGGAAGGCTTAGTTGCCACACCTCGTGAAAGGTAACTACCAAACAGAACACATGTCCTATTAGTCAGCTAGCTAGGCATTTTCTGAGGTACACTATTCAAGCCTTAAAAATTAAGACAATGATATGTTATTAATTACATTTAAAAATTGATAAAACCACACAGGCTAAAAAGACTTGACTCCATAGCTGGTATACACAGCATATCAAACAAATGCTTCATAACGCTACATTGGATACATAGAAGCAGAAATCCATATAATGATCGTAATCACAAAGCCTGTAAAATCCTCGATGCATTTTGCTGATGGCAACTTCTTCAATATAATACAGCATATGTGAACCAGCATGGAGTCGAATGGAAGGAAGAGGTACACCTGGGCCAGAGGGAGAAGTCTGCCTCCATTCTACTCCAGCTTTGGTTATGGTCCTGCGCTGAAGCCCTCTGCATCGTGTTTGCCCCTCCTATGACCCCCTAGGGGGAGCTGATGCCGGGTGTACCTCTTCCTTCCATCCTGACTGATGGACTGATTTCATGCTGTTTCACATATGCTGTATTATCCACCCGAAGAAGCTGCCATCAGCGAAACGTGTCGAGGATTTCACAGTCTTAGTGTTTACCATCATATACAGTATATTGCATATATGCATTAGGACCTGGGTCTTCAAGTGAAGGTGGTCCTTGTTTCTCCCCTGCTTGTATCTATATTATGTTTGCTCATATTCCATTATCACACATATATATTTTGACAGCATTTGTTCCATGTTCTATGGTAGGATTTGTTGTTTGGGGCATGGTTTGACGTGGTTTTATGGGTTAGGGTTTGCTATGCAATAGTCCAAGCTAGTTTTGTTTCGTAATATAATAAAGTGATATTTTTACCAGCCTTGCTAGTGTTAGAGTGGCATTTTTTTTTCTTAGGTCTTTTCAACCTTCATGGTTCATTTGACCATTTTTAGTTTTAGGATTCCAGCCTGCACAGAGTAGTGAATTGCACAGCTCTCTCAGTATGTTCCTACACAACAATCCATGACAGTGATGCCCCTTAAGAACCATAAGATCTGACTGGTGGGACCACAGTCCAAGGAACATGTAAATATTAATGGACAATGCCCAAAGCTGTTTACTTGAAGTTTGTTGGGAGGAGGAACACAAGTAAACTGTGTTTTTATCTCAAATGTAAAAGTAATGAGTATTTAGGAATCTACTATGGGACAAGACACTTGATGGCACTCATTTTTAATGAATAATAGGTTGCCACCTATACCTGATATTAGCAGTAGATACCCATGAACAGACAAGAGCTTGGAAAACATCAAGACTGACTGCCCACTTATGCTTTACATGACGAAAGGTGGAATGATGGCTTCTTTACAGCCACAATGCTACAGTGGGAAGGGAGGTAAGGAAATGTACCCAAAACCCTTGGTGCCTAAGAACCCTGAGAGGCAATGCCTTCAATTCATCTGCACACAGTTAGACCTCATACACACCTAAGGGTGAGCATAGCCAGGCGATTCAGAGGCATTTCTTTGCCCCTTTTGTATGCACGTTTTTCACAAGTTTGTACTTGTGACTTGTAGTACAGGAGCAGAATCGTACTCTTTTGGCCTCATAGACTTTGAAATGGGGGTGCCTGAAAGACGCACATAAACACACGTTTTTTAAGAATTTTACAAGCGCACCCATTTCAGTCTATTGGGCCAAAAATAATTTCCCAAGAAGCTCATGTACTTTTTCGAGCTTCACTTGACAGGCGGCAAGTGCTCCAATGCTCAGCTGTGAACGGGCCTACTAATAATAATCAGAGATTCTTCATCTGTAGTGTTGTCACATTTCAAGAATCGCTCTACAAAATGCTAAGTTATGAATGGGGCCTACGGTAGGCATTGTATGTTTGTGCTGTCTGGGACCATTTGCAGGTGTGAGAATACAGAATGGTCCACTTCTGGGCTAGGCTTCCTTCCACCTATGACAGCCTCATTGGCAAATTCTGTGACTGTACACAATAGCCTTAAGATTTTAAGATATCCGCTTCTTAACCAGGCAGCAAGTACTGCAGGTCCTGCCGCACTTGCAAGTACTAGACGGAGTGACTGTGAGAGTCTCAGGCGACCAGAAGAAGTCTGACACTGAATGTGAAAAAGAAGACAGTGACAGCGATGACAGCAGCCTATTGTCTGAAGAATCAGGTAAAACATACTTTTCAATGACGTGATCTTAGCAATTGATTTTTTTAATAGGGTACAAACATTTCGCAAAAATGGTAAAGAAACATTCTTGGCTATAAATGAATCATTTATGAATAGGACAGTGGTTTTACCATCCCCAGCATTTTCCACTGTGTTCAAATGCAGAAACTGTCATGTTGGCTTCTACCACATCTATTTTTGTAAGATGCAGAAATATTGTATGTATAAGATACAAGGTGAAGTACTAAATAACTTTATATGGATGTTTATCTTTTTTTGCTACTTTGTTCAGGTTTCCGTCCAGGTAATGTAAAAACGTGAAAGAAATGTAAAGGCTTTCATTGCTGACCTTTCTTTCGGAAAATGCAAGCTGCCTTTCTGTCATACCAATTAACTGCCTACGCCTACAGTACTTTGAGTGTTTGTTCCAGGCCAGTGACTCAGAAAGCATTGAAGCCAGGCAGTGAGTATTTTCAGAAACGGGTAATTAAGGGCAGCTTCTCCCAGTGCAGGTTTCATTAAATTACCACTTTCTGTCTTAAAGTAACACTAAACTCAGGAATTAAATCTTAAAAATACATTCAAGGACCTTAACTATTAACAAAACTGTAACTCAGCTGTAGATCCTCAAATCGTCTTTGAATTGGTGCTGACACTGTCCTTCCTTCTGGAGGGTGGCTCCTTTTCTTTCCCATGGTCACCGTGTGTATTGTAAGTAGCCACCACTCCAAGCTTGCTCCCGTGATAGACAATAACTTCAATACAAATTAGTAAACCCAATGTGAGATTGTAGTCCATCAGGAGAGCAAGCTTGGAGCGGTGGCTACTTTGCAACACACACAGGGACCATGGAGAACAATTCAGAGATAATTTGAGGACCTACAGCTAAGTGATACACAAATAGGATACAGTTTGTTAATACAGGTGAAACTCGAATAATTAGAATATCGTGCAAAAGTAATTGCAGTAAGTGCTGCAAAAGGGGCCCAAACCAAGTACTGAGTACATATGCATGCTTGTACTTTTCAGAGGTCCGATATTGTTCTATGTACAATCCTTGTTTTATTGATTGCATGTAATAATCTACTTTTTTGAGGTTGTGGATTTGGGGTTCTTGGGGTTTTCATGAGCTGTAAGCCATAATCATCACAATGATGACAAATCACGGCTTGAATTATCTTGCTTTGCATGTAATGAGTCTATCTCATATATTAGTTTCACCTTTTAAGTTGCATTAGTGAAATAAATGAACTTTGCACGTTATTCTAATTATTCGAGTTTCACCTGTAGGTAAGGTACTTGAATGCATTGAATGCACTAACTCCTGAGTTTAGGGTCACTTTAAAACAGAACTATGGGGTAAGTGTTTTTCCCCATAGCTCTCTTTGGGGTCACGGGAGGACATATACTAACCTCCTCCCGGGACCCAAAGCTCAGTATATAGTGGGCTATTGCCTGCGATATACCAAGACCGCTGCAGCAGGGTCAGATCCAAACAACACTGTCTGGTTGCACCCAGCTGCATGAGTGATAGCTGGCTCTGCCTATCTAGAGGCAGAGCCAGCTGTGCCCGCCCCCTCCCCGTCTGTTCCTCCACTCAGCGCTGGAGGAGGGGGAATCCCTGCAGGGAGCGGTGACTGACAGTCACTGCTCTCTGCAGGGAGATGATCGTAAAGTAAGCAAGTGACGTTATGTGTTCGCTCACTTCCCGATCAATAGAGCCGACCTGTGACAGCTTCTTTGTCGCAGGTCGGCTCTAACTATGAGGATGAGTGGAAATCGCCTCATAGTTCTCCTTTAAGTCCTGTATTGTATTCTACATAGTTAGTCAGGTTAAAAAAAGACACATGTCCATCGAGTTCAACCTAATTTTGTAAAGTGAACATATTCTCGATTTTGGAGGTGGGATCACCAGTGTAAGGCAGTAAGGAACTGTGTATTATTGTGAGCTTTCGCTTCTGCGCAAGTCCCACAGTTCTTCTTTCATTGGCTGAGCAGAGTGCTGAACTCAGCTGGTCTCAGAACTGCAAGTTAATGTGAATACAAAGAAAAGAAAGGAAACATAAAAGGCAGTTACATCATACATGATAAAACGCGTATAGTTAAAGCCCATCTCTGGGCAAACAAAAAAAGTTTCTTTGCAGTGAGGCTACTCCTGCAATATAAGGGTTAAGTGTTCATTTTTGTTTAGGGGACTGGAGTAAATGAGATTTACTTACCCGCTCTTGCTCCGTAGACCGGTCCCTGCAGCCTCTTATCCCCTGGGTTCAAGCGGTTTAAGGAAAGCTCATGTCATCAGGTTCCACAGACCTGTATTAGATGGGAGAACGCTGATGGACATTCTATCAGCCGGAGCACAGGGCAAGAAGAGGACAGTACTCACCACTGAGGGAGCAAGGACCAGGTAAAGAAAATCTGCTGAACTCCAGCCCTTAGACACAAAACTTAAGCCCCACAATTCAGGGGTAGCCCCACTGCAAGGGTACCTTTTTGTTTGCCCAGAAATGGGCTTTAAACTGATACTGTACTGAAAACAAAAATCAGCACAGGTATCGTAAAGCAGTAGTTTATGATGGCTAGGAAACTGGTGCACAAAGTCATAGCTACCTCCAAAGTCACGAGGTAAAAAATGAATTGTCATCAATTTCTCCATTGCCCTCCGGTAACTGCATTGGCATTTTTAATAAAGAAATTACCAGCACAGTGATAGACACAGCAACACAAGCAAGAGGAGGAGACTCACAGGGGAATTTAGCTAGGCAACTCTCTGAAAGTATTTACTTCTTTTCAAATGTATACTAAAATAATGAGTAATACCAGATCCATCAAAAGTAGGTATTAACATACTGGTGATTGTAGCCATACTTGCACTTGCGCCGCCAAAGTTGAGTACTTTCTGTAAAACCTTTTTTTATTTTTACTTATAGGTGATTTCTATCTTACCTATTGAGGGACACAGCTTGATAAGTGATGAATGTAGGGTTATACTGCCGCCTGTGTTGCTTAATTATCATCAAACTGTGTCCCTCCAATGGATTTTGAAAAAAAGCATTTTTTGGCGAGTACAAAAAATCCTATTTTCTCTCTCATTTATTGAGGGACACAGCTTGATGATGATTTAACAATGTAGGCAGCAGTATAACTCTGTGTTACTTAATTATCATCAAGCTGTGTCCCTCAATGGACTCCGAGAAAAGGATTTTAGAGGGAGTACAAACAAAATCCTAGTTTTCAGAACAAGCTTTCTGGGGTCTACCTCGTTTTTGTTCTTTCAGGCTGTCACTATTTTGTAGCTCTGTTTTTAACCTGTGTATCTAACTGCTTTGTTCCCACTCTTCTATTCTTAGCTCTTATCTTATAATAATTATCCTATTATGTTTCTACTTTCTCTGTACTTTTTAAAAATGGTAGAATGATTGCACAGCTGGCATTATGAGTAGACATAAATTAAGAGTTGAACATTCTCACAAGTCATGAACTGAGAAATAAATAAGGCTTGCTCACACCAGCCACAAGCTAAAACAGCCTGTTTGGTGTCTGCTGTGATCCAATGGTAGAGGGCGGTGCTTTGCAGTGTTGCAAAGGCAAGGCACGGTTTACCTTCTTTTTTCTTACATTTATTGAAATGTCAAAGTGACATTTCTTTTATTTGTATTCACGTTACTGCATTGCACACCACCCAAGGCAGCATGGTGCTGTGAACAGGGCACATAGAAAACAATTGTTTCTTATGTGCCCTTGCAGTAAATGGCATTGAGCAGGTGTTGGAAAATGCCACCGCACATGGTGTGAATGAGTCCTTAAAATATTGACTCCCTTCAGCAGAATTACTGGCATGAGGCCATCTTAAAAGAAATGACAGTAGGGTTTACAAAAGGTGTATGGTCTGTACATACATTTTACATATATTTATCTATTGTGTTAGTAGGCTAATGTTGCACTAGCTTTGTTGTATGTTACATGATCATTTAAGAAAAATCATCTTTGAATGTTTTTAAATCTGTACAAACTTTAGTAGGAAAATAACTAAATTATGTTCTTCATTGACATTTCTCTTCTCAGACAGTCTCTCATCTGTGGCACAGGACATGCTGCAAAGATCTCTTCAGAGGAGGGAGAGAGCACTGAAAGAACACGAGGATCGTCTGGGAGAACTGAATGGGAATGGAGACGGCCAATCCTTGCTTTCATCCCAGGATGAGGTCTGCCGTGCTGAACTGCCTGGAATCTCTCATCAGAATATAGACTCGCAGGATAAAGCCTCTTCTCAAACCAAGAAGCATAACACTAATAAATCTGACAAGGAGCGTCAGGCTGCCTCGTTACTTGGAAAGAATACCAGAGATCTCTATAGGGCTGGCAAAGCTGTATGTAAGAACCAGGCAGCAGCCTCAAGTGCTGGAGCTTCAACTGAAAAAAAATCACATTCAAGATCTATCACAATGTCTTCTAGAACACCGCCATTATCTAACACCCAAACAAAACTTCCACAAATAAGTAAGCATTCTGCAGAAATAAAACGAGGTACAGCCCCTTGTACCCTGAAAGACAGACAGACTATAAAAAGTATAAGGCACACCCCAGAGAAGGCAACAGCTCCTAGTAGATCAGCTATGAGTGCTCCAAATCCGAGACAGCCTGTCTCCTCCAAGAAATTGTAGGCCTTACCAAGAAAAACCTGCAGACTGTACAGAGATCACCCAAAGTAAATTCTGGCATGTAAAAAAAAAGAAAATGAAACATTATGCTTGCCAGAACAGGTTGAATTTTTTTTTGTTTAATGCAATAATGTGAAGAGCATTGTTAATGAACCGTTATTCCTTTAACTCTTTGTATAATGCAAGCTCTTTTTCCACACTGAGACGAAATAGGTCAGTTGAGTGTGTAAAGTCAGGGTTCTTGGTTCCATCAAGCAGCTTGTTGACGGCTAATAAAGTCTCAGTCTCCATTTCCCTTTGCATCGTCTGTAGTGCTTGTAGAGCCTCCTGTACACATAAAAGCGGTCTATATGAGAACATAACCATGAGCGGGATTTTTAACAGCATGCAGCATAACACACATTACACATTCTAATCTTTTCCACCCGTCTGTTTTTTTTAAAAATTTAACATTTCTGAGCTTGTTACATCTTTCATATTCTCACAAATTCAGTACCAGACCAGGTACCTGAAGCCATTTCACCCAAATCTTTTGGTTTTTGTTTAGAGCGCCCCTATGCTGAAAAAGTCGACTGTTCTAATATGAAATTTAAATTGACTGCGGATATCCATTCCACCACTTTTAATGGATGTGGTGAAATTCACTTTTGTGCAATCAATTTTCAAGCAAGAAACAATGTTTTACTTAAAGTGACATTAAACCCTCAGATTTTTTAACATAAAACAATACTGTAATGTGTGCCTTACTGTAATCCATGGTTGTTTCCCTTCTCTTTGCTGCTCTTCCTTTTAACCAGTTGACATCCGCGGTGTTAAACCCCCTTCCCTTCCAGGCCATTTTTCAGTATTCAGCGCTGCGGTACTTTAACTGACATTTATTCCGTCATGCAGCGCTGTACTGAAATGAATTTTATACCCTATTTTAGGGTGTGCCGCGAACGAGCACATATAGGCGATCGGCGTGCTATGGACCCGCTGATCGCCTATATGTGAAACACCCGGTAACGGGTGTGTGCATTTATCGGGTCTTTTCTGCCCGTGCGTGCCCGCCATTGAGCGCGCGAGCAGAAAAAAATTGCCGTCTGGAGACGGCAACCCGCAGATGCAGCAGTGCCGTCCGTCCGTTGTTTTACTACGGGCGGACGGCAAGAGGTTAAATCTGTATCTCTTCTCATGCTGGGGGAGAACTTCCCTTTGCAGCTGAGTGCCTCTTCCTGTAGTGCTGGCTCAGGTTGTGAACCTACACACAGACACCATGTATCCATTTCAGAGACAAGGCAGTCTGCTGCAAAACAGAAGTTCTGCCCAGAGATACAGATTTTAAAGGAAGAGCAGCAAAGAGAAGGGAAACTACCATGGATTACAGTAAGGCACACATTACAGTATTGTAATTGTTTTATGTTACAAATCTGAGGGTTTAATGTCACTTTAAGTTGACCATACCCTAGTAGATTTTAAAATGAACTTTCATTCCAAAGATCTTTCTTTACCATCTGATAATGCCATCGGACACTTGCTGAATTTCGGTCGAAATTTCGTTTGATTTTAATGTTCAATTTTGGAGTAAATGAACAAAACCACACTCGATGTTTTGTTGGTTCAAGAAAAAATTTCCATCCTGTTTTTTCCCTTCATGTAAAATCTCTAAAGATACTATTAGTCTAAAGGTTTTTTTTTGCATTTCACACAGGTAAATTATAAAGTACAAATTGTAGTTGAGGCATCCAGATCATCTGTAAGATTAGATCTGCAAGCTCACGGAGTACTCCTAAACTTTTGGCATCCTCCTATCTATCTTTACAGGCCAAGTTGTCTGGTTTCTTGGACCTCATACCTTTTATATTGGTGTTAATGATGTATGTTTAAGCTTTTCACTCAAGTATTGTTGACTATTACATGTTATCTCTCTCTTGTTATTTGCCATTTCCTTTTTCATGTTATTGTGTTTTTGTATTTCCAAAAACTTTTAATAAACTTAGATTGGACCAAGAGTAGATCTGCACGCTATAAACAAAGGAAGTTGGCAGCATTAATTATACCATGCCCCAAAATGTACCAATAAGTGGATCTTTAATGCAGTATATCTCGTAGGATTTCTAGAAATGATCACTCCTAAATATTTAAAAGAGGAAGCCATCTCAATAAATGTGGCAGAGCTGGGTAAAGGAGATTTCATGATATTCCAATTCATCAGTGCGTAACAGTTAAAATTTAAGCTGGCAATACACGGATTGAATTTAGTCCGTTTCCTACTGAAACAAATTAAATTAATTCTGTGGGTGGTCCTACAAGGACCACCTAAGTTGAAAAAAGTTAACTTTTATAGGAGCCAAACAGAAAAGTGTCAGCCAAACAGTGACTACAGCCAATCAGGAGTATTCTGAATACATGTCCGTTACCTCCATGTCCCTCACAAAAAAAGAAAATGTCTTCTAGTAACACCTGATGCAAAATTATTCCAACTAATGGTTTCTTATTAATCCATAAAACTGCAACAGCTGGTGTATCAAAAAGTGGAATTCTTCCATAGCAACAATTCTTAAAGCAGACTTTTACCCCTTTGACTAAAAATCACATCAGCATACACCTCTGCATGCTGATATGAAATCATCTTACATCCATTAGCTAAACAAATATATTTCCCCAGTCATCTTCCAGGACAGCATTTGAAATGTGGAGGAACCTCCCCACAAACAGGAAACACGCCACCACCAATTACTTTAAAAGGCTCCCTTCACAGGATGCTTCTCAATTTGTGTTTGTGTTTCCTCTGTCCGGAGAAGATGCGTCACCGCAAGGAAGGTTATGGGGGGGATACCTTGGTCACTTGCTGCCCTGGATTCCTACCTCCTTGTCCTCTGGCCTCCAGCAGTCCTCCTTGATGCCGGTAGGAGGTGTGCTGGTCTCCCCTATCCCTTTCCGTGCCTGGGGAAGGCCTTGACCGGATTGTTGGCTGGCTTGTGCCGCTCTGAGAGCCCTGGGATGCTGTCCGCGGCTGACCAGAAGGCGGTATACAATACTTCCGGGAGGGAAAACATAATTTCTGTGCGTTCCAGGCCTTTCAGTGCAGGGAAAGGGGAGGGCCCTGACTGGTACTTTCTCACTGTTCCTCCAGGCAGTGGCTGCGAGAACGCTGAACTGAAAGCACACGTTGCAGCATGGATTCCACACAAGCAGCGCAGCCCCTGGTGGATGCAGGCACCTCAGTAACCAGCCCAGCTAAGGTGAGGGAGCTTCTTTTCTTATAGCTCTACTCCCGCACGCTCCAACTTCCTGCTCTTTAACTGGGGCCCCTTGGTGGTGGGCTTGTAGGTGTAAGTGTGGCACTAGGGTTATCAGTCCTCCTCCCGGGCTAATTTAGATCTTGATCCTCTCTACTGCAGGCCAAGACCCCCGATAAGTCCAAGAGTGTTCCTCTGAAAAAGTGTGCTGTTTGTGGTACTAAGCTTAACCCTGCCCACACCAAGCCTCTTTGCCAAGCATGTATTGGTGGGATTCTGAAGGATGAGTCAGTCTCTGCGTGCAGCAGCCTCTTGTCTTCAGTCAAAGAGAAGCTAGTATCCAGCTCCCACTCATTCAGATCACTTTTGGATCATTTTATTTTCCCTTCTAGCCTGCCTTTGTCGGCAACTACAAATCTTCTGAACCTGAGGATCTGGCCGCTTTGGATTTCTCTCGGGTAGATTCATTCTCTGAATGTAATGGTGAAAGGGAGGATTCTTCCGGAAGCTCTACGTTTTAGGTTCACACCTAAAAGGGCACCTGTAACATCTTGGCAGGCTTTCTATGCCGGCATCAGGTCCTCCAAGAGGAATGGAGTTTGAATCCAGAGGTCTTTTCTCTTCTCGTTGAGAAGTCGTGAGAACCGGAGGTAGATTTGTTTCCCAAAAGAAGACAAAGGTGGGTCTGTTCTTTTATCTGAATCAAGTGTACTCGATTTGGACGTTCTAATGAATCCATGGCCTTTTCTGCTTTTGTTATGCCTTCGCTCCTGTTCATCTTCTTCCCAGAGTGCTTCAGAAATTCCTTCAGGAGAAAACAGACCTGATTCTCATAGCCCAAAAGAGCCGGGTTTTCGCTTCTTTTGTCCTGGTCCAGTCAGCCCCCCTGGACTCTCACTGACAGACCAGACTTGATTTTGCTGGGTCCGGTCCTTCATCCACATGTGCGGATGTTCGGACTGACTGCATTGTTTCTGAAGAGAAGATCTTCAGGTCTAAGGGTCTCTTTTCTAGAGTTGTTAATACTCTCCTAGGCAGTCATAAGGCAGTTACTAGAAGTATTTATGCCAAAGTGCGGAAAACTTTCAATTCTTGGCTTAAGAGAAAGGCCAGATTTGCCTGTGGTTCTAGATTTTTTGCAAGACGGCAGATAAAGGGCTGGCCTTGAGCTCCCTCAAGGGTTAAGTAGCAGCTCTTAGTGTTTATTTGCAGGTTCCCGTGGCAGGAGACCCCCTCGTTTCCAGATTCTTTAAGGCCCTGGCAAGGTTGAGGACAGTTCCAGTTTGATCTTGTCCCAAATGAAATTTATTTATAGTGTTGCAGGGTCTTATTAGATCCCCTTTTGAACCTTTGTTGGAATCCTCCTTAAGGTTTCTGACTCTCAAAATCGCCTTGCTGGTAAGCTGTCACTTCTGCCCATAGGATCAGCAAGTTGCAGGTCCTTTCTATCAAAGAGCCTTTTCTTTCAGTTTTTCCTTTTTCTGGACCGGAAATGTTTTGCAAGCTGTGGTCCCTCCTTAGGGGGTAAGTTCTTGTTTATCATCTCCCATGCTGTCCTGAAAGACGACTGGCAAAATACCAGAGTTAGACTTACCGGTAACTCTATTTGCAGTAGTCTTCCAGGGCAGCAGGGTTCCCGACCTTTTGAAGTCTATTAGGGGTGTTTTGGGGGTTTTTGTTTCTTTTTCTCTTCTGCTTTTTTGCAGATTTCCATCCTTTGGTTCTCGTAAATACTGAGTAGAATCCTGTGAGGGCAGTCTTTTAAAATAATTGGTGGTGGCATGTTTCCTCTTTGTGGGGAGGTACCTCCACATCTCACATGCTGTCCTGGAAGACTACTGGAAATAGAGTTACCGGTAAGTCTAACTCCGTTTTTTTATTTTACTTAAAATTTCTTTTTTTTCCACTTTCTGGTAGACTTTGGCACAAATAATGTAATCGTGCCTTGCATCCTGGGAAGGTTACATCAGCAGAGCATTGCTGGGAAATCTCATCTGTAATCTCATGAGGTCTCAAGGAAAGGCAGAGTTCCAGGAAGTAAAGGGAGATCTCGTAACCTGCCCTTGGTTAAAATGGCCACTGTGAGATGAATGGGAAGGAAAATAAAAAATATGGTATGCATAAAATATAAAGCCAGCAATTATCTAGAACAGTGGTTCTCAACCTTCCTAGGGCCGGGACCCCTTGGTAACATTTGCCAAGTTGTGGTGAATGGTAAATGTTAGGGATGATGCGGCTGCTGCAGCAACATCTGACGGCGTGGCAGGAGAACTGACACTGCTGCGCTAGGAGAGGGCTGAGGAGGACTCTCACCTAGCACAGCAGAAATCACACAGTGACCCACAGGTTGAGAACCACTGTTCTACTTGCTTTTTGAAGCTGAAATACCCTTCCTAGAACAACAACAGCAGACTCCTGACATGACCTGCGTAGAGAGTAGAAAGCACAATCTTTTTGGTAGCTGCTCTGTGGATATAACCGCGTTATGTACGTCGTCAGAATATACATTTTAAAAAAAAACACCATAGGAATGCATAGCTAGATTCCTATTTGCTATTACACTTTGCAATAGCCAATAGCAAACTAGCTATTGCACCTGCCCTCTGCTGCTGTCAATCACTAGAAGGGTACCTGATGGAGAACTACAGGTCCCCCTCTGCTGATTGTCAGCCTGCGGCTCCGATGTCAGAAACAAAAAGACAATCGCAGGGAGAGGTTTACTCTGCTCGATCGAGCAGAGTAAACCTTTCCGGGAGAAAGTGTTTCTCTCCTGGGCGGCCGGGAGCCGCTGGGCGACCCCTGGCAAATCGTCATTTGACCCCTAATGGGGTGGCGACCCACAGGTTGAGAACCGCTGATCTAGAAGCATCAGCATCTGTTTGTAGATTGTCATTACTAAACATTTCTAAAGGAGCCTTTGTTGTTATTTTGAAAATATGGGTAAAGTTCAACTTTAACCCTGCAGGGTAACGTAGCATAAGACACTTTCAGCTGCAATTGCTTTTTAGTTTCCTGAAACGTATCCCTTTTTCTTTGTAGCTCTACAGAAAAATCTGGATAGAGTGATATCTCTACAGCCTTTATTGTAATCTTAAGTCACCATGCTCTCTGGAAGATAAGAATTTATCCTGGGCAGGATTGATCTTGGCTTTCCCCCAGGTAGAGGGGGCTGGTCAGAATATGATGACCCTTCTCTACTGCAAACACAGAGGAATACAGTATGCATCTTTCCCAAACACAGAGAAAAGCCATCTCTCAATGTATATTATATAATCCCCTTCCACCAAAACTAATTCAATTCTAATGTTGTTGCAGCATAGTCGGTTTTAAATATCATCCAATATCATCAACTTTATCAGTATAAGGCTTTGCCTTTTGCTTAATAAGATGATGCAGATCTTGTTTTAAAGAATTATCTACATCCTCCATGTCTCTTATTTTTACTTCCAGAACCAAGATTCTATCCTGGATTTTTTTTTTTTTAATTATGTCTAATAAAAGTAATTTTTTTCTCCAACTGCATCCATCTGAGTTTTTGTCGATGAGTCACATTCTTGCACTGCAATTAAAACATCTCTCACTGTAGGCTCTTTTTCACCTTGCAATTGTTCATCACTCATTGAATCACTCGCCTCCTCAGGAATCAATTTTGGTGTATCAAAATCATCCCAGTCTGTCAAATGTAAGGCGAAATAGAGTACAGAGTGAGCAGTAACATTATCTGAATTATGTGCTGTGTGCAAACCATTTCAGCCTAGCCTCCACCTCTTTGTCCTCCTCTTTTGTGGCGCCATCCTATAATAATCTTACTGGTGTATGCACCTCCTCCCTTAGCTGGGATCTCTGTTGGCAACCAAAAGATAGGGTACTAAACTGGGCTCTGGTGCCAGTAGTGCTCATGTGCAGAGTACTGGGCTTTCCTGGTATCAGTGTATGTCTTTTAACATTTGCAGTCTACCCTATCATGTTTATTGGTTGATTTTTTTTTTTTTTT